CACTAGGCTATGCTGATCAACAATTTGCTTTACCTGAATTAGGCCTGAGAGTGCTAGGAAGGCTCTGGAGGTGGGGGGAGGGAGCCTTCATCATTAAACAGTGTGCTCAATCTGTGTGAAAAAATATTGGCTTCTGACTGTGTGGAAGGTAAGGCAGGAAGAGAACTCCAGTAGTCACTATGCTTGTGATGGGCAAGCTTCTTGACCTGATTAAAGGCTGGGAATGGGAGGATTTTCAGGGAGGGGAAGAGTCTTTATCACTATAGTCTAGGCTACACTGGTAACCAGGTTACTTGAACTCAAGTTTTGGCATGGGAAAGAAGTCTTGACCCAGATCACTGACAGGTTTAGCTGTTGGATAGAAAACTCTTCCTGGGTTTACGGGGATGTCAGTGAAGGACCTGTATGGAGCTAGACTTGGAAGTGTACTAATGGTACAGATGGGTGGGCTTATGGGACACTCACTAGCCTAGTCTTGTGGGCAAGCATCTTTGGCTCATACTAGGCGTGGGAGTTGGAGGACAGTGTGTTAAAGACAGGGCCTTGATAATTTAACAGTCTGGCCTGGTGTCTAGAAGGTTTGACCAAAGCCCGAAACTATAGGGATAACACAGGTACAGCAGTCTGGGTCATTTACTGGGATTCACTATGAAGGGTTCTACTTGACCAAACTAGTCTTGGGAATCTGCAGAAGGTGCTAAAGTAAGAGTTGTGATCACTCACAGGGCTGGGATGTTGCTCAGGCCGTGTGAACCAAACCAGGCCTATCTGTGTGAGGAGGATACTGAATGGAGAGTCTGAAACACTGAGGCACTTAGGGTACTCACTTCTCTCTTCTGGTATCCACACTGCCTGACCTCATCAAGTCCTGGAATTGTTACTACAGTGAGGAAGTGTGGAATCCAGGGTCACTCATCTCTACTGGCAGGCAGACAGTCTGCCTGTGACTGGGAGACCATGCCAAGACTGAGTAGGTGCAGGAAGGCAGGGGTCTGGCTCACAATAGAGGATTGGCTGGTCTCAGAAATACTTGAATGGAATGATGGCTGGGGGTAGAAGGATGGTGCCAGATGATGGAGTCTTTATTCCTAACCAAGTAAGTCCTAGAGACGTAGTGATGTCTTAGAAGTGTTAAGGGTTGGTCTATGTCACAACTTGGACAGAAGTGCCAGATGTGCAACCTGTAGAGTAGGATATCTGTAGGATATCCTGAGCTTTCTTCAGGCTGACAGTAAGCAAGCTTTATCAGGGAATGTGAGGATAGCTAGGGTATGTGACTCTTGGGAACTCATATGCTGAGCTGTTTTCGACCCTGCAACACCCAAGCTATCTTTGTGCTTTGAGGTTAAACCTTCAGTCCTGTTTTTATTGTTACTGTTTTGGATCATGAAGGTCTAATGTAGATCACTTGCTAGAGTAAGCTTGTGGTATAAAGGTGTAAGTTTGTGAATGTAAAGATGACAAAGGATAAAAGTCTGGGACCCTCACAGGCTGAGTATTTGGGCTGGTTGTTGTTGTTGTTTTAAACCTAGCTAGGCCTGGAAGGGCCTGGTGGGGAAAGAGAATATTTTGTGGTCATTTACCTGCTGTTCTGGTCCACAGTCTGCCTGTAATTATGAGCTAAGTTCCTAGTTTGGGCAGGTGCAGGAGGCCAGAGGTCTGGTTCACAAAGGTGGTTTGACAGCTCTGAGAACTCCTTGAGTGGAACTATGCCAGGATACATGAGAATGGTGTAGGAGAATGTGGTATTGATACTTACAAGGAGGGGCCTGGGACTGTGGTGGATATCATGGCAGTGTAAGGCTCTGCGTCACTCACCAGGCAGTGCTGGAATTGGAGGCTATACAACCCAAGCAAGGCCTGAACATATTAGGAAGACAGCAACAGGATAGGCTTCCGAACTCTCTCCAGGCTGGGAGCATTCCATCTCATTGATCTTAGCTAGGTCAGGGAGTGTGAGAATGGCTTACATGGCTGAAATTCCTGGGAACTCAGGGTTGGTGTGCAGACTGTGAGACACCATCTAGGCCTGGGACTTCAGAAATGACACAGGAGAGCAGGAGTTATTCACCAGGCTTCCTCATTGGCCTTACGGTTGATCTGAACTAGGCCTGGAAGTCTGGGGATGCTACTTGAGTGATTGTCTGGATAACTCATAGAGCTGAGATATTGCTCAGTTTATATGACCAGGGCCAGGCCTGTATGTATGAGTATAGGGAAAGCAAGTGGGGAACATTAGACAGTCACTACTCTGACCTGATACTCATGCTATATAATCCAAACTTGGCCATGAGTGTGGGGAAGGTGAAGATAGATGGTGATCTTTAGTACTCATACGCTGGGGTGATGGACAATCAGAGGGACTATAGGTATGCCTCAAGTGTGAAGATGATGGAAGAGGGAATACTAGTGATCACTAGTTGCTGAGCAGTCAATTTTAGCTGAGTCTTAGACTATGGGTGACATGGGTAAGCAAAAGGTCTCAATCACTCATGATATGACTTTTGTGAAGTCTTTATGACTGGATCTAGGGCTGATATTGTAGTAATGGTGGAGAAGGGTGAGGTTATGTGTCTCTCACTAAGATGGGCTGGTGCATTATATACCTGGAATTTCACACCAGTCATGAATCTTAGCTGGTAGAAGAGAATTTAGGGTCTGATTCATTACCAAGCTTGACTAAGGAGCAAACTGCTTGCTCCATTCAGCCTAGGAATTTGTTTGGTGCAGAACAGTCTTGACCTCTCCAGGACATACTGATGCCCAGGCTGTTTCAGCAGTTCTAGGCCTGGGATGGTGAGGATAGCCTCAGAGTTCAGGGTCTGGTTGAATCACTGGGCTGAGCTATGGTATACAGGAAATGGCACACAAGCAAGGCCACAGATCATTATGTGATACTGGAAGGATGAGATGCTGAGTTGTTGTCAGGTTGGGATGATACACAGTCTGACTGGCCAGAGTTTAGGCCAGGGAGTGTGATGACTGCTTGAGTGGGTGAGGTTCGTGGGAACACACCATACTGCTCTGGTATACAACCTTTCTGACAACATGACAGGATTGAGGATGGTGTAGGAGAACACGGTTTCCATCACCCACCATCCTGGGCTTTTGCCCAAGGCTGCTTCATCCTGGGTGGATATATGACTTTAGGCAATGGTGAACAGGGGTTGTGTCCCTCATTGGGGTGAGCAAGTCAGGAATCTACTTGACCCAAACCAGGCCAGAGAGTCTGAGGAAGGCACTGGACAGTGAGACTTGACCGCTCTCTAGGCTGGGCTGTTCCTCAGACTGTGAGCACAAGGATGGTAAATGCAGGTGGGGAATTTGGGTACTTAGTAAGGTAGACTGTCTGCTCAGGATCATGAGGTTTCTTGCTAGTCTGAGCTGGTGCAAGATGGCAGGGGTCTGGTTCAAGACCAGGCTTCACAGTGGGATGCTTGACCCAAACAAGGCCTGGGAGTTTCAGGATGATGGAGGAAGCTGGAGCCTTGATGCCTCACTAGGCTGGGCTGTCGTGGTAGGACCCTAGCTAAGCCTGGAGCTATAAGCAGAACAATAGCAGGAGATGATTTTGAGCTCTCCCTGGGCTGGGATGCTGTGTAGTTTGACTGACCTCAGCTAGGCCAGGGACAGTGTATCTGGCTCTTACAGGTGAGCTTCTTGAAATTTTACTGCACAGGGATGGTGGTCAGGCTGTGTGACACCAGCTAGGCCTGTCAAGTACATTATGCTGGGCTGGCATCATGGAACAGTACATAGCTTAAGGTCAAAGGCACAGATTTGGCTTAGGTTGTAAAAGCTGATTACATGTAATAAGTTTCTCATCTGAAATATAAAATTTATACAACTTTGCTGTAGTCAATATAGATGAACCGTGTACATTTATACAAGCTCAAATTTATCAAATGAGCGGTGGCTAACAAAGTTCACAGAGATGATCTGTAAAACAGACTTTTACCCAATTACAATAAAGTTACAAACTAGACCTCTACTTTCTAAAAATAAGACGTTTACTCAGTCTTAGAAAACTATAGGCTATAAAATGTATGGGCTGCTGGCTGGTGCCAACAATTCCAGTTCTGACAGTGCCTTTTTAAGTGTCTTTTAAAAGCCTGTTGCCAAGGCACATTCTGGTCACTTGTTGCTTTCAAAACAAAACAAAACAAACAAACAAAAACAAACAAACAAACAAACACCGCCCCCCCAAAAAAAAAAACACAAAAAACAAAGCCTGACCCTTGCCTTTCCTCTATCATGTGACCTAGTTTGTCCTTATGTATATTTATTCATTTAAGTGCTAGGGAAAGTTTCCTAGTACTGATGTAAAGTTTCCTCTAATTTCATGCTTAAATGATTGAGCTTTCCTATTAAATGGCCAGAAATAGTTACTGATAGTGTTCAAGTGTAATAGTGCAAATACTCTTGAAAGATCAACTGTGAAAGGTAGTTTGTTGAAATATAGGTTTGTGGGGCTAGAGAGATAGCTCATGATTCAGAGTCTTTTTTGTTCTAACAAAGGCCCAGTTTTGATTCCCAGCCTCCTCAAGGGAGTACTGAGGAGTACTCAAGTACTCAAGTACTCAAGTACTCAAGTACTCAAGCCTCCATCTTCTGACTTCTCCCGGCTACTCCACAAGTAGCACACAGACATGCATTCAGAAAATCACTCATACACATACAATCTAAAATTAAATTAAAGGGACAGAGGTGACAGTTTAGATATAAGGTCTGTGAGAACCCTAAACCACCTTGTAATGTCACCCCCTTGCAAATGCAGTGATTATTTCCTTGAACTCATAGGCTATTATTACATCATAATTGAAAGGTACTATACAACTATGGCAATGTCACTAAAAAAAATGTCACCACTCCAACTTGCATCAGGTTTTCACAGCTGGGACATGATTTAAATTCAAAAATCCAACCCCAAGAGGAGCCCACCCAAGGCAAAAATCAAATTTTTCCATCCGTTATAGGATGATCCATCCACAGGCTGTATCTTAACCTGATACTGTCATTATATTGTTTTTAGAAGTGTTTGTTCTGCCCAAGAGAGGTTCCTCTTTGCAACTGCTTCTGCCGTCTACCATTTGCACGTTGGTGCTGATTTGAGAGCTACTACCTGCTGGCGAGGCTTCATACAGTACACAGATGGAGCCATCCTCTCCAATCCTGTAGGACACTTCGTAGGGGTCAACCCAGAGCGTGAGTTCACTTGGGAGAAGCCTGAACAACTCTTGACTGCTCAGTCCAATCTGCTGGGCTGCCTGTCCAATCAGAGGATCCATCTGATGGTTGATGCGAAGACACCTGTAACCTGATCCCTTGCAGGGCTTCTCTGGAAACCAGTGGTGTTTATAATGTTCTGCCAGCACTTCCTGCAGGCTCTGGCTGAAGGTCTGAAGCTGTTGTTCGCTCCTGAGCCCCTTGGTGCTGAGGAATTTGGAGATGAAAGTCGCTGCAGCACAGATCTCCCCTATCATGGTGTCTGCAAAAGGTATAGAAAGGAGGCATGGGGTAGCAGGTAGATCCCCAGTGTGGCCCTGAAGGCACACTGGCCACCCCAGCCTTCTGCCACGACCTGGTAGTCTAGAGAAAGCAAGAGTGTAAGGCTGCTTCTACCTCTAGCGGCCTTATTCCAACTCTTCTCTTAGAAGAAAATGTTATTGTGGAGGGATGAGATAGATAGCCTTGTCGCATAGCTTTCACCTTCCCAGCCACTCCTACTGCTAGCTCAGAAAACTCCGAGGATCCCAGGAATTGTGGGTCCAGTTCCAACGGGAAAATGTACTTGCATTCTTAAGGGTCTATTAAGCTTAAGCAGGCTGAGCACAGAGGCTAACATACTGAGTACATTCCTTGGCCTGTGAGTGTGGGTAGCTGGAATGTATTCACTAGATCAGGCTGATGGGAAATCTGCCTGACCAGAGCTGGGACAGGGAGTTTGGCGGTGGTGCAGGAGTGGGTCACCTTGAATACTTGAATAGGAGGATGGCCTCAACTCTAGTGTAGCAGATCCTAAGCAGTAATGCCATGGTTAGGGTTGCAGGGTGGTTGAGTGGGTGAGTGGGGGCTAGTCTCAACCACATACCAGTATGGGCTAGTAAGCAGGCAGCTTGACCCCAGCTTCTGCTGATACTGTGTGGTTGGCACAGAAGGGCATAGCCCAAGCTAGGCCTGAGAGTGTGCTAATGTTGCAGATGGGCAAGGTTATTGGTGAGTCAGCAGGCCATGATTAGAGGATAAATGTTGTGGTCCAAGCTATAGTATTTGGTATATAAGGGTTTTGATTACTTACCTGTCTGGGCTGATGAGTTTTTCTACTAACCGTACCTGGGCCTTGATACTCTGAAGTTTTCACAAGAGGGTTGGGATTAATGTCAGCAGCTGGATAGGATCTTGAGCTCTCACGAGGCTGGAATGGTACGGAGTCTGAATGACCTGAGCCTGACATCAGAGTATCTTAGGCAGTCATGATCTTAGGATCCCAACAGGAATAGTGGTCAGGCTATTTGATCCTACCTGTACATGTGTACACAATAATAGTGCAGTAGGACAAGCTTCTAGATCCCACATGAGACTGTGCTGCTAGGCAAGCTGACTAACTTGGGTTAGGTCTTGGATGTGAGAATGGTGTGGTATGGAAATGTCTTGATAACTCACCACTGTGGGTTAGTGTCCAGGCTGCTTGAGCCCTCATGGGTCAGGGAGTGTGGAGATGGCACTGAAGAGGCAGGTTCTTAATTACTCAATAGACAGTGCTTGCCTGTCTATTGAACCAAACTAGCTGTGGAAGTATGACTAAGGTATTGGAGGGGATCTCTTGGTCACTGACTTTGCTGTTGGACAGGATATGTGACCAAAGCCAGGGCTGTGGAAATGATAAAGAGAGGTAAGTATGTTGAGCTTTTATTAGTCTGTGCTTAATGGGCAAGATGCTCAATTTACCTAGGCCTAGCCACATAAGGATCATGTGAGGAGAGAAACTTTTTAACCCCTCCCCCAAATTCTCCACTTGAGCCTGAGTGCTATATTGTTAGGATCATGGAGTATAACCCAATTTTGATTATATACCATGGTAAACTCATAAGCAGGTAGCTTGACCCCTATCTCACTGAGTTACTGTTGGATATGACGAGGGAGGACAAAGTTCTGGGTCAAAAAGAGGTGGCTGTGGGCAGGATGTGTGACCTGAGCTACACTTGGTAGTGTAATAATGTTGTGGGAGAGCAAGGGTCACTCACCGCTCTGGTCTGGTACACAGTATGCCTGGATTGGGAGAGCACACTGTAGTCTGGAGTGAGGCAGGAGGACAACATTCTGGGTCACCAGCCAGGCTTGGCAGGCCTACAAGCTACTTGACTTGAACTAGGTTGAACTAGGCCAAGGACTATGAGGATGGGGATAAGAGCAGGGCCTTTCTTCTCACCAGGATGTGGGAGGTCCCAGGCTGCTGCAGCCATTATGAACCTGGGAATGCGAGGATGTTCTTGGAAGTGCAGAGCTCTATGTCATTCAGCATCCAGGGTTACAGTGCAGGCATTGCTATTCAAGCCTTTAGGGAGTCTTAGCACCACACCAGGAGGACAGGATCTTCAGCTCTCACCAGGCTGGGATGATGTTCAATCTGATTGACTCTGGTTGAGTCATGAAGATGGGGGCTAGGGCAGGGAGGATTTGTACGAACCCACCTGGCTTTATGACAACAGCTAAGCCTAGTAGTATGGAGATGTGGGGGCTTGATCTTTCTGTAGTTTGTGCTGGTACTTGGGTTGCTTAGACCCTGCTAGGCTTGAACTGTGGCATTGACATGGGGAACAATGGTGTAAAACACTCACCAGGCAGCTCTCGTGGTGTACTTGAGCAGTAGTCTCAGGAAGCTGCTTGAAGGGGAACCTGATAATTCACTGGTCTGGTCTCTTGCTCAGGCAGTGTGAACCACGGTAGGCCTATGAGTGTGAGGCAGATACATGAGAGAAAGTCTTGATCTTAGAGCACTCATTTGTCTCCTCTGGTGGCTACATTACTTGATCACAGCAAGTCATGGAATCATTAGGGCTGTGGGAGATTAGAGGTATCAGTTACTCACCAAACTAAGCTGGAGGGAAGGCAACTTGACCCTAGGTGAATCGGGGGCTGTAGGGATGGCACAGGAGAACAGTGTGGGTCCCTCACAGGCTGAGTCTTCATACAGGTTGTTTTACCCAAGGTCGTCCTGGAAGTGTGCCAATGGTGGGAAAGAGCAGGGTCAGGGTCACTCACCTGGTACAGCTGCTCTTCAATCTGCCTGTAATTGTGAAATCACTCCCCAGTCTGAGTAGGTGCAGCAGGGGAGTGGTCTGGGCCATATAGGAGCCTTAGCTGGCCCAGGAGCTGCTTGAGTGGGTCTATGCCTGAAAATGTGAGGATAGTGGTTAAAGCCAGGGCTCTTCAATCACAACACAAAGTGGGACCTGGGACTGTAGGGATACCCTGCAATGGCAAGGGTCTGGATGTGAGTCACTCATTAGTCTGGGCTGGTCAATGAGCTTGCTCAGCAAAAATATGCCTGGGAGTGTCAGGTAGGGTAGGGGTCTTGCTCCCAAACCTGGTTGGGTTGGGGTACAGGTTATGCAACCCAAACTGGGCCTGGAAATATTAGTAGGAATATCAGTAGGGTAGGATCGTGTGTTCTCAAGAGCTGGAATTTGGGAACTTTCTGACTGATACCATCTAAGCCAGAAACTATGAAGATGGCTCAGGCAGATAAGATTCATATGAACTCAAAAGGCTAGGATGGCGTTCAGGCTCAGTGACCCCAGCTGGACATGGTATTATGAGAATGGTGTGGAGGACAAGTTCTTGATCATTCACCAGTCTTCATTGCTAGACACATTCATGAACCCAGCTGGGTCTAGGAGCATGGTAACGGATTAGATCAGCAAGGTTCTGGGAAATTCAACAAGGTTGGCATTGTGGGTAACAGTGTGAAGTAAACTAGGCCCCAAACTATGGATGAAATGGGAAGGCAGGCAGGGTTTTGATCACTTACCAGTCTGGTCAGGTACCCAGGATGCTTGATACCAGCTGGGCCAGTGACTCTGAGGATAGCAGAGGAATTCACAGTTGTAAGTCATATAACAGTTTAGTTCATCTGTTTGACCTGAACTGAGCCTGGGAGTCTGAGAAAAGTACTAGAGGGGTAGTCTTGATCCTCACCAGGCTGGGATGTTGCTCAGGCTCTATGAGTATATGTTATCGTGGGTTGAGGATGTTGGATACTCACTAGACTGGCCTACAACACAGTCTTCCTGGGTTCATGTGAACACTCACTTGACTGAACTGTTACAAGAGGGCAGGGATAGCTAACCAGACCTGGCTGGTCTGTGAACTGCTCGACCCAGATTTAGGCTGATCACATCAGGAAAGTTCAGTAACATGGGGTCTTGGTTCTATACTAGGCTATGTTGGAGTGCAGGCTGTTCAGTCCAAGCTATGTCTGGGAGTATTAGTGGGACACCCCAGGATAAGATCTTGATCTGTCACTAGACTGAGATGGTGGTATGCAGTCTGACTGACCCCAGTAGACTAGGGACTGTGAGGCTAGCTCTGGCAGGAAAGGTTCTTGGGGATTCACCATTTTGGACTGCTGTACAGAGAGTAGAACACAAGCTAGGCCTGGCACTATGAGGACAGGTTCTCCGTTACTCACCAGTCTGGGCTGGTGCCAGCCTGTTAGGCTTGAGTGTGGTAATGGTTCACGAGGGATAGGATCTGGGTTATATTCCAGGCTAGACTGGTACACAGACCACCCCCTATTGTGACATCATAGCTCTCCTTGCCTGGTGGGGGAGGGAGGGGTCTGTCTAGGTAACCAGTCTGGGGAAGGTGATAATGATGATGAGGGGTGCCTATGCTGCTTCACCCAAGCTAGGCATGTGACAGTGGGGAATATTCTGGAATTGCTATGGGTCACTCACTGTGTCAATTTTACATTGAAGAATGAAAAAAAAAAATCCCTGTGTATGATGTCTCTAAAGAAGGCTTTTTTATTTTTTTCATGGAAAGAAATCAATAAATCAGGATCATTTTAGAAGGGAAGTTTTACTTTACTGACCCAGAATTGCTCACAGATATTATTAACCTATATGCATTCCTATATGATTGCATGGTGAGTGTTAGATTAAGTACACAGTTTTAGTGATCTCAAGGTACATTACTGATGTTGCTGCTGCTGCTGTTGTTTTCTTTTTTTTCTTTTCTTTTTTTTTTTTTTTTTTGAGGCAGGGTTTATCTCTGTAGCTTTGGCTGTCTTCAAACTCTGTAGACTAGGCTGGTCTCGAACTCAGAGGTCTGTACAATGCATATTCTTAACTTTGTTTCAAGGTCAAGAGGGAGCTTTTTCAGAAACAGGTATTATCATAATTCCCAAGAAGCATGTCTGTGCTGGTGCTCAGTGGTAAAGTACTAAGTTAAGGCACGATAGAACAGCTTCAATCAGCAT